CTGACTGGAACCAGGCTTGTGGCACCTCCCAAGCAGAGGCCCTCCAAGAGCAAGAGTCCCTGACCTCTGGTCCCTGGAACCGCATTGTGCTTTGAGATCAGGGAGAAATGAGATGGACTGGCTGATGCCTCCCCAGGGGCTTCTGATGCTTCGGTAAGACTCTTCCCATGCTTGAGGTCACTCAGGTTAGAGTCAGAATGAAAGATGACTGACCAGGAAGGAGGGTGATCACTCGCTCATCTAGCAAGCCCTCGCAGGTTGTCCTGACTACGGCATCGTTGGCCTGACCAGCGCCTTTAGGTTCAAACCTCATCTGTAGTGGGGTCTGTGTGCAAAGGGACCTGAAGATGAGAGTCAGGAGACCCAGGAGAGATGAATGAAGCCACATGAGGACTGTCCCAGGCCCCAGGTGCAAAGGAGGAATCTGAGTTTAACACCGGTCCAGAGATGGTGCTGCCTGCCAGTTGTGGAGCCCTGGACTCTCTCCCTGGTTCCAAGGACAGGAGAACCTCGAGGGAGATGCCGCAGTGTGGGTGACTTGGTCCTACTGTACTCTGTAGCTTCAGACAAATGGACAGGATATCCTCCTCCCACCTCCCCAGTGAGTGAGAAAAAGGATGGGGCCTCCCATGTGACCAGGAGACTGTTTTCACTTCCTGGCTATGCAGAACTTCAAGCCCAGTCCTGTTCCAGGGATGGAAGGCCATAGGATATCCAGAGACCTTTTTACAGGGAAGCAGGAAAGAACAGCTCAGTTAACTCAAGTTCCAAAGCCATCCCTTGCTCTACCCTTCACAGCAGGCTCCCAGCCAGGGAGATAAAGTGTTCCTGGAGTCTGGGGGAGGTCGGAAGCAAACAGGCCTGGGAGAATACCCTGTTCCCTCCTTCCTGTTGCTGCCCCTAGAACTGAGGCAAGACCCTATGTTTATGTGGGCAGGACAGCACACTCAGTGTGTGAAGGAACACACACAGGGTCAGGAGGGCAGACTAGCAGAAAGGTAAACTCACCACATTGGTCCCAAAATAACTGAAGCCTAATACCTACCCCCTGGGAAAGTATGGAGGCATGAGGTGTATGGGGCTCATCCCAGCCCTAGGATATAGGGTGCCAAGGGAGCTAGGCCAGGGGATCTGAAGGGCCTAAGGTAGGGAGTGAAGCTGGACACTAACCAATCCTCCCCTCCCCCACACAGGATCTCACCACATAGCTCAGGTTGCTGGAACTCGGGATGCAGACCAGGGTGACCTTGAATTCAGAGATCGGGCTGTCTCTGTACCCCAAGAACTAGATCTAAGGCTGTGTGTCACTATTCCTAGCTTATCTGATCTCTTTAATGGGTCTCCCATTTCAGCCCAGCCCTGTGAACCCACCTTTCCCAGAACAATCCTGCCCTCCCCAGAGTACCCAGCCTATTCCATCCAGAGAGAAAAATCAATCAAGTCGGTTGATCCAAGGGAAAATCTGCCAGAGGAAGGAGCCCGAGACAGAGTCGCAGAACAAGACTTGGGTTGGCAAAAGAAGCTGGAAGGAGGGGTGGGAATAAGAAAGCAGTCACAGTTCTTAAAAGACAGAGACACTAAAGGGTGGGTGGGTCAGCGTCCAGAACAGATGTGATGCCATAGAATGCATTGAAGACAGAATGGGATAGCCCAGGCAGGGTTCAGATGGCCTCCATGTAGTTGGCTGACAGCATCCCAGTCTGCTGCACATTGACAATGGTGTCATTGCAGTAAGGCTTCTTCTCATAGCCCTTGTAGTTCTTTATGTTCAAGGTCATCTGGCAGATCTTGCAGTGAGAGCATGATTTATGCCAGAACTTATCCAGACAGTTCATTTTCTCCGTGGGATACATTATCTTGCCGCACCTGGCGTAGATAGGGTTCATGGTTCTGGAAAAAGACTGGGGTGGGGATGCCCAAGATCTTGCATGTTCCCTTTTCCTTGGGCGAGTGGTTGGGATGTGGCAGCTGCAACTGTTTAGGTGATGGCGACTGGAACTGGATAACTTCAAAGAAAACCTTAAATCCAACAAATTATTAACACAAAACATTCAGGAAATCTGAGACACCATTAAAAGTTCAACTCTAAGAATAGAGATAGAAGGAGAGTTCCACTTCAAAGGCACAGAAAATATATTCAATAAAATCATAGAAAACTTTCCCAACCAAAAGAAGGATATGGCAATGAAAGTACAAGAAGCTTACAGAAGATCAAATAGATTGAACCAAAAATAGTCCCCTCACCATACAATAATCAATACACTAAACATACAGAATAAAGAATATTAAGAGCTGTAAAGGAAAAAGGCCAAGTCACACATAAAAGCAGACCTATCAAAATTACACTCGATTTCTCAATGGAGACTCTGAAAGCTAGAAGGTCCTGTTGCAGATGAACTTTGGTTGACTGGGAAGCCAGCTGTTTCTGTCAATACTCACATTTTTTACGCCATTTGCTTGCACTTCCTGTTTACTCAGTTAATATTATTTGCTTCTTGGGTCTCTGAGGGAGTTGAAGACTTAATTATAATTATAGTTTTCCTTGTTTACCAAATGCAGAAAGAAAGTTATGATAGAAAGTAAATTAGGCACAAGACTTTGGATTCACCAAGACAGGATATATATGGAATATTTTCTCTGAATGTGTCAAGTACAAATGGAGTAGACATTGTTGATGTCTTTATTGCCTGTATATATTGCATATAGTTATTGTACTTATTGTATATAGTTTTTTATATTAGTTATAATTTTTATTTTAGACAAAAAAGGGGAAATGTAGCAATATTTCTTTGTATTTTAATAAATAAAACTTGCCTGAAGATCAGAAAAGTAAAACAGCCACCCTAGCCAATCTTACAGACCATGTAGCAATGACAAAAACTTTTAATCCCAGTAGCCACACTAGTTTGTCATAGAAAGCAGGTGGTAGTGGTATACACCCTTAATCCCAGAAGTAGGATGATTACAAAACAGGAAGAGACAACTCTCGGAGATTCCTGGAGGCAGGAGTGCCATTTCAAACTGAGGTCAAGGTAAGAGCTAATAATGGCTGGCTATTTTACTTTTCTGATATTCAGGTTGAATGACAATCTCTATCTCTGTGTTTTTATTATTCATGCTGCACAAAGAGCTTGGTTCTGTCTCAATTTGGTATATCAGACTTTGTTGACACCCCAATGAAGACCTTACCTCCTCTGAGGAGTGGATGGGGGTATGGGATAGAGGGAGGTAGTGTAGAACTCTAAAATAACTCTAAAGCCATTTTTTGACAATTCTGAGCCCTCTCAGTCTCAGAAGTAATGCTCCCCTCTTACCCTCTGGGAATCAAGGACCTAACAGCTACTAAAATGTTGGAAACTTTGCATTTCCCTGAGTCTTTGTGAATGTTCTCCAGATATTGGGGCAAGAAAACCTTTAAGATGTTGACTCAGTTCCTGAACAATTACCCACACACATATGTTTTGACTCAAGCCCAGAGAAACGGGGTCAAAGTGATCTCTTACCTCATCTGATCTGGCAACTGCTCTCCAGCCAATTATTGCTAATAGCCCTTTTAAGTAAGCCAATCATAATAGTCAAAGAACAACCCCCAGGCACCCTCCTTGCTTCTGTGGCTTTTTCCTTTAAAAGTAGCCTGTACTAGCTATTTGGGGTCTTTCTGGCCTCTAATGCTAAAAGACCCTGTCATGACAAAATTAATAAAATCCTCATGCTTTTACATCAGCTGTGGTGTGAGTGGTGGTCTCTTGGGGTGACTCCTCCTCAATGTTTGGACTCTAAGGTCTAACAGTAGGAGGCAGGAGAAGGGAAAGAAGGGGGAACTGGGACTAGTAAGTAAAACCAATTTTTTTTAAAAAAAGTTTAAAAAAAGATTAGAAGCTGGGTGGTGGTAGTGGCACACGCCTTTAATCCCAGCACTTGGGAGGCAGAGGCAGGTGGTTCTCTGTGAGTCTGAGGCCAGCCTAGTCTACAAGAGCTAGTTCCAGGCCAGGTTCCAAAGCTGCAGAGAAACCCTGTCTCAAGAAACAAAACAAAATGAAACAAAACAATAAAAAAAGATTAGAATAATTCAAGCTAAACACACACACACACACACACACACACACACACACAAGAAACCAAAACTCATACCATTTTAAGAGTATTTCGCTGTGGATAGTTGATTACAGTTTATTTTATAAAGAAAAAAATCTTTCCAATTTTTATTTTGTGTATATGAAGGTATGATGATATGTGTGTTAGGTAGTATCTTAGGATTTCTTTTGTTGTGAAGAGACACCATGACCACGGCAACTCCTATAAGGAAAGCATTTCATTGAGGTGGCAGCTTACAGTTTCAGTTTCAGTCTGCTATCATTATATCAGGGAACATGGCAGCATGTTGGCAGACATGGTGCTGGCTGGATCATGATCAGAAGGCAACAGGGACTGGATTGTGACACAGAATCATATCTTGAGCATGAGAGACCTCAAAGTCCACCTCCACAGTGACACACTTTCTCTAACAATGTCATACCTACTCCAACAAAACCACATCTCCTAATATTGCCACTCTTTATGAGCTTATGGGGGCCAATTACATTCAAACTACCACATGGGGTGTAAATGAATATATTCTATACATGTGTGGAAGACAGCAAAGAATTTTCAGGTGTCCTGTTCTATCACCCTTGACCTTATTTCCTCGAGACATAGTCTCTCACTGAACTTGGAGTAACACTAGCCAGCAGCAAGCAGGCTCTAGTGATTGATTCTAGTCTCTGAACTCCCGTCCTCAATAGTACTTAAGTTAGCATGTGTAGCCAATCCAACCTTTTTTAACCCAGCTTTTTATAAGTGTTTGGAATTCAAACTCAGGTCCTCCTGCTTGTGCACTAAGCACTTGAACAACTGAGACATTTTCCTGGTCCCAGTAGAATCATTTTTTTAACAAAAAGAATCCAGATTCTGGTTTGATGCACAAACTACAATTTTAATTCGGTTAGAAACTATGACCAAAAAATGTCTTTCTAAAGTTAATTGAATTTGAATGATGAGGAAAGTCTTCTGGCAGGTCTGCATTCTCAATCTGAAAGTAATGCTATGAAAGAAAAATAAGGAGAGTTAAAAAACTTAAAATGACGAATATACATATATATATTATATTATATTATATTATAAAAGTAAATGACAACAACAAAATTTTCAAACTATAAACTGGGCATAATGATCAACATATACTTTAGGAGTCTAATAGAAACATGGATGATATCTTTCACTTTTAACTAGTATACCACCTGCTCAGCAATGCAATATTAGAAGGGGTTTAAAGAGGGACCTCATAATTATATACCATACACTCACTGAGCCTCAGTTAAGGCTTAAAGATGTGTCAATCTTTCCTTGGATAAGTGTTATGTTCAAGACACACTGGTGACTGTGGCCATGTTTATTTATCAATTAGCATGTAGCCTTAGAATCAGAACAGGAAGATTCTATTTCTTCATTATTTACTCTGAATGGATGAACTGTCCTTTAGCAAATAATGAAGAACCCAAACAATTGGGTACTTTTCTTCACTACTTAATTGCCATCCAAATATCCCTAGTTGTGACACAGTTTCAGGTAATAAACTTTCTGAATGCAAAAATAACTGTTAGGAAAATAGGTTAATGATAGACATATAAGGTTAGTAATAACAATCAACTTTATATCCTGCTCATTACCTCTGGTCTCCTGCTCTTTTCTAATTCTCTCTTCTGGTGCTTTCCTTGCTTTAGGCTCCCTCTTCACTTTTGCTTTTTGTTTATTCAAAGCCTTCAACACTCTGTTCGTCTTCCTTCTCAAAGGATTAAACCATCTGCTTTAATATGAAAAGTTCAAATGAAGCTTTACAGTAGTGAGATAGCAACACTATTTGCCCATATTACTAAATTCCCTGTCTGATATTTTTTACCTCATTCTAAAAAATGTACTTCATTTTGCTCCCTCGAATTTATTGCTATAAACATTACTATCATTCTGTCTATAGTCCTTGTGATCATATAATCCTCCACAATTAGAACAAGGCACCACAATTGCTCTGCAAGATAAATGGTACATACACAACAACCACATTACATATTTTCTAGTCTATGGCACCTTTCCTTTCACTCCTACTCCAAAGAGAATCCCCCATCATCTGACCTTCAAAATCAATAGTAATATAGTTTATATTGCATTACTATTTACAATTTTCAAAGCACTTTCACTTACTTTTGCTGTCATTTAGTATTCAGTCCCATAGTCCCTTGTATCTGTGTAGTGATCGAGTAGAGAAGTACCCGTGAGGGCAATATGTGCCAAAATCTTGCCCAGGTACCTCATATAGTTTATCTCATTTAATTCTCACAAAAATCCTAGAAAGTACTACATTTCCTATTTTGAAATGATTAAACTAAGACTTGTTGTAGGTCTCACCATACTGAAGCACTGCTAATACATGCTAACCTCAGGCATGTTACAGATTAAATCACTAATGCCTTCATGTGCATGAATGGCCTCATTTGATCATTTATAAATTTACTTTTATGAAGCATGATTAGTAAAAATTCAGAGAGAGAAATTGAGTTTCAACCTGAAGATCCAAAAAGCAAAGCAGCCAGCTAAGATCAAGCATTCATAATTAGTAAGAAGTCTCCATGTCATGATTTGGGAGCTGGTCTTCTGAGAAAACCTGCTACAGGGAAACCCAAAGAAGACAGAGATAAAGTTTGCCTACAAGTTTATGAAGAGAAAACAACAGAATTGCCCTCGGTAGCTCAATGGTCATCAGCATAAGGAAGAGAACATCAAGCCACCCAACAGTGCTACTTCAATGTACAGAGAAAGTGGGTTCTAAGCATTTGGAACACAGAGATAGATAAGCCTGCCTTTGAAAGGGTGGCTTTGAAGGTAACACTATTCTCTCCTAAAACTACATTACTTGGTTGTCAGTAATCTCCAATAGCTAAGACAGATTTGAAGGAAAGAAGCACTTTCTTCTCAATTAACAATAAAAATGTCTATGGGCATAAATTGAAATAGTGAGTGAAGCAAAAAATATATGTATATGATTTACCTATGACCTCTTTATATTGTTGTAATATTAACTACGGTCTGGAAAAAGGTAAAATAAAAAATTAAATCTACACAGTTCTCAGTCTACTGAGGCCAGATGTATATCAGAATATTTTTTTTAATTTCACAAAGGTAACATTATGTTCTTTTTTTCTTTTTTTTTTTTTTTGATTTTTCGAGACAGGGTTTCTCCATAGTTTTTGGTGCCTGTTCTGGAACTAGCTCTTAGACCAGGCTGGCCTCGAACTCACAGGGATCCGCCTGCCTCTGCCTCTCGAGTGCTGGGATTAAAGGCGTGTGCCACCACTGCCCTGCTAACACTATGTTCTTTGCTGATTGCTGTTTGACACTTCCAAGGATCATGGGGCAGCACTTCATAATAAAATATATTAACATTTCTGCAACAAAATATATACATATTGGCTCTAAGCAGTAAATAATATTAGGAATAACTCGGATTACATATGCATTTTTTCATAAATGACTTAAAAATATTTAGGTTTGTAAAGTTTCTAGACATTCAGTATTATAGATACAAAATTAAGGCTTATATAAGCCTCCTGATACAGTAACCTTAATATATCTTACTTTTAATCATAAGATGGTCAGATGTCCTTTATTCATGGGGCTTATTTTAAATTTAGTGGTGTACGTTTCACCTTTACTACCAAAGAAAAATATGGTATGGTAAAACTACTTTGAAACCTAGTGTGGGCTGAAGAGATGGGTCAAAAAGTAAAATACATACCACACAAAAACGAAGAAAAATGAGTTTTGATCCCCAGCACCCACATAAAAGGGCTAGGCATGAAATTCTACCAACATGGTTGCCTAAACAAAACCTACACAATGACAGCATCACTTGATATTTCAAAATTGATAGAGGAAATCTTGCGAGGCATGTTCTACTCCTATATTTTAAAAAAAAGCCAATTAATTATTGCTAAGAGAGGGAGGTCCAAGGAAAAGCCCTGATAAACTATCCAGTCTCAAGTGGTCAGGTGGTCAGCCTTAAACACAAACACACACAAACACACACATATATATATATATAACACTAAATGCATTCAGCAGGTCTGAATTTGTGTGTGTGTGTGTGTGTGTGTGTGTGTGTGTGTATAACTCATAACAACAATAATAAAGACGACGAGGTCATAAAGTTGGTTGAAGTGAGGGGAACATGGGAGATATTGAAGAAGGAAAGGGAGGGAAAAATAACATAAAACAACATTCATATATGAAATTCTCAAAAAATAAAAATAAAGTAAAAAAAATATTTTAAAGCCAAATACGGTTTCTTGTATCTATAACACTAGTGGAGGACAGGGATACAGTTGGATTCAAAGAGACTACCACATTCAATGAGAGACTGTAAAAAGATAAGATGATGAGTGATCAAGACATTGATCTCTGGCCTTCACAAATACACATTCATATGCACACGTACATATATGTACACATATGCATGTACACACAACAACACAGAGAGAGAGAGAGAGAGAGAGAGAGAGAGAGAGAGAGACAAAGAGAGAGAACGCTAACTCAATGAAATTTCAAAGGACTTGGTTTTCAGTTCATCCTCATCACTAACTGTCATAATATGGCTGAATAGGAAGACCAGATGTGATTAGGGTTCCACATCCTAGATTCTATCTACAGCCTCTTGCCAGCTAAGAAGCAAGAATTCCAGCACAATTTGATATGGGGATGCCCTTCTGGTCCAGTCACACCCAGTCACTGTAGAGAACACATCTCCCCAGGAAAATTTTAAAAATCCAGTGCCTGTTGTAAAAAACCATACGGCTCTAGATGATAGAATAATCAAGGAGGATGAATCAAAAATTCTGATTGAAAATAGGAAACATATATTTTGGCAGACTTCTATAAATGATCAAAGACCAAAGCTGAGAGTATGAATAAGTAACATTGTAACTGAAGGATTATGGTGCAGATATGACTATCATTACTCCAGAATCTTGACATTCAAATTGGCCTCTTCAGGAGGCAGATGTTCAATTACTAGGATTTGGAACCCTATCTCAGGTAAAACAAAACACACGATGTGTCTAATGCATATGGTCAGAAGGACAGAGAGGAAGACTAAAGCCATATGTGACTACTATAGCAGTGAATCTATAGGGTCATGATCTGTTGTAGCAATGGAACACCCACATTAACATTCCTGTAGACTCAGAAATGGAACATAAACCAACTCATGTTTCTGGGAAAGATATCGTAAGATACTATAAAAACAGCCACCAAACCTTCTCACTATACAAAAACAAAAAACAACTAGCAAGCCTTCAGAGGTACCAATGGCCCTACCTTTAACATGATTAACTAAGGAACCTGGCCTTTAAAATAGAGAAACTGCAGGCTTTAGAACAGCTGGTACAGGAACAACTAGATGTTTACCATATTGAAGAATCAACCAGCCCTTGGAATTCTCCTGTATTTGTTGTTAAAAAGAAATGGAGAATGGTGACACTCTAAGAGCTGTTTTAAAAAAGTGATTCAATCAATGGACCCTCTACAATCTAGAATTCCTTTGCCTTCTCTATTGCCTAAAGGATGGCCTCTTACAGTTATTGATTTAAAAGATCGTTTCTTCACAATACCTTTACATGAAAAAGACAGAGAGAAATTTGTCTTCACAGTACCTACTTGGAGTAATTATCAGTCTACTAAGAGGTATCACTGGAGGGTCCTCTCATGGGGAATGTTAAATAGTCCTACCCTGTGCCAATATTTTGTAAGTCAGCTATTGGAAATAATACATAATCAATTTCCTAAATCGATAGTTTACCATTACATGGATATCATTTTGCTATCTGATTCAAATGTAGACACTTTAGAAAAAATGTTTGAAGAAGAAAATTTTGTCTAGTTGGGGATTATGTACTGCTCATTAAAAATATACAAAGAGGAGATTCTATCAATTATCCAGGTTATAAAATAGGTTTACAGAGAATTAGAACACAAAAAAAGCACAAATTAGGAGAGATAGATTGCAGACTCTTAATGACTTCCAAAGATTGCTAGGAAATATTTCCAATCTATGGCCCATTTCTGGGATAACACATGATCTAATAATTCATTTAAACAAAACCTTAGATGGTGGCAAAGAATCAAATAGGCCCAGGGAATTAATAGCTAAAGCTGAGAAAAAAATAGACTGTGACCAAATAGAAATTGCAGGCGGCACATGTAGATCATGTGGATTCAAATCTTAACAGCATTCTGGTCATATTAACTTCGAAATATTCCCCTACAGGAATTTTTTTTTAGCCAGTCTTGCACTTTATTGCCCTTCCATTAGACCTTGACCAATGATTGGAGCCCCTACATTTTATATTGATGCAAATAAATCAGTATAAAACAACTAACAAACCTTTAGAGGTACCTACAGCCCTACCTTTAAAATGGCTAACTGAAAAGCCAATATGGGTTAAACAATGGCCTTTAGCTGAAGATAAATTGCAGGCTTTAGAACAATTGGTACAGGAGCAATGAGATGCGTGACATATTGAGGAGTCCACTAGCTTTTGGAATTCTCCTGAGTTTGTTGTAAAAGAGAAATCTGGCAAATGGAGAATGGTGACAGATCTAAGGGCTGTCAACAAGGTAATTCAACCTATGGGCCCTCTACTGTCTGAACTTCCTCTGCCTTCTCTGTTACCCAAAGGATGGCCTCCTATAGTTATTGACTTGAAGGATTGCTTCTTTACCATACCATTACAAGAAAAGGATAGAGAAAAATTTGCC